AAGGTGCTGACCATCGAACCGCCCCCTGCAGACCCCCGGCTCCGGGAGGACATGGCGCTGCTGGCCGACTGTGCCTTGCCCCCCGAGCTCCGAGTAAGTGTGAGACTGCTGGGCAGGAGGGGTGTTTTGGGTTGGCAGGCTGTGACAGGCAGCTCAGATACTTGGGCCCAATTCCTTGTGTGGCCTTGGCCCAGTTACTTCCCTTTCTGAACCTAGTCGTTCACTTCTGTGAACAACTGCTCTGATGGGGTCGCCTCTTCTGTACCCCAGGGTGATCTTGGGGAGCTGCCCTTCCCTTGTCCCGACGGCTTCAACAGCTGCCCTGACGTCTGCTTCCGAGTGGCCGGCTGCAGCTTCCTCTGCCACAAGGTGCCTGTGCCCTCCTGTTGCCCCTGGCCCCAGCCCGCTGGCCTGAGCCCGGGTCTAGCTCCTCAGGAGACAGACCCTGGCCCTTGCACTTCCTGAGCCTGGCCTCCCTCAGGCCTTCTTCCGTGGCCGCAGTGACTACTTCCGGGCCCTGCTGGATGACCACTTCCGAGAGAGCGAGGAGCCAGCGACCTCAGGGGGCCCTCCAGCCATCACCCTGCACGGCATCTCACCCGACATCTTCACCCACGTGCTCTACTACGTGTACAGCGACCACACTGAGGTGGGGGCTCAGGCGGGGCTGGGGATGGCACATAGCCTGTGCTGCCGTGGGCTGAGAAGGAGTGCCAGGGCCCTGGAGGTCTGTGGAAGGGCCCAGCTGGCCCCATGGTTGATGTTTTGAGAAGGCTGGAGAGGAAGGCTGTGGGACTTTGGATTTTTCTTTCAGGCAGAGGAAGCCTTGTTAGGCTCCAGAGAGAGGCTGAGTGGCAAGGCCTGTGTCACAGGCACTTCACACTTGTCAGCCATTTGGGGTCCTCAGCTTCTCCAGCAGGAGGGTGGAGGGTAGGTGGGGACAGCCCCCTCCCTCTGAAGCACTGCAGATCCCTGGGGTTCTAGGTTCTCAGTCTCTTCTTCCCTTCCTGCCTCCCTCTGTCTCCAGCTGCCCCAAGGCGTTCCTAAGCCAAGGCTGCAGGGCAGTAGCAGAGTGCCGAAGGTTTGCTGTGCCAGGCTGTGTGACAGTGAGTGTGTATGTGCGTATGTGTGTGTGTGTGTGTGTGTGTGTGTGTGTGTGTGTGTGTGTGTGTCTAATAAAGAGACCGCTATATCTGTTGGCTTAAAGAAGAAGGCAGTTTGTTTCTCCTTCACATCTGACTGAGGTGGGTGCCCCAGGGCAGGTGGCTTGCTGAAGACCAGGTCGTCCCTCCATCTTGCTCCTCTATGCCTAAGGTTGGAGGTCAAAAATCTTTTCTCTAAAGGTGAGTGTTTCAGGTTCTGTGGGCCATACGGCCCTATTGTAGCTACTCAACTCTAATGCAAAGCAGCCAGAGACAGTACAGAGATGAGTAGGTGAAGCTGTGTTCCAATAAAACTTTATTTGCACAAACAGTCTGGATTTGGCCCATGGGCTGTAGCTTACCCACCCTGCCCTGGGGCATTGCTTTTGGCCATGGAGATTCGGTCCCAGGCAAACTCATGCTCTAGGAGGAAGAGGAAGGCAGGGAAAGCAATGTTGTTTTTGTAGAAGCCACCGGAAGTTGCACACTCTACTTCTCATGTTCCCCTGGAGAGAACTTCATGCCTACTTGCCAATAAGGGAGGCTAGGAAAGTGATTCTGTCACCAGGCTCCTGTTTTGTGGGGGAAGGGGAAGAAGCATGCTGGGGGACAGAGGGCAGACCCTACTGCTGCTCTGCCTCAAGTGACTGCTCCCTTGTCCTTTCTTCCCCGAGGCCTCCATCCTTTCTGCCTCCTCTATTGGGCATCTCCTGCAGTTCAGCCCAGTTCTCTGGCCCCTGTTACCTTTGCCCACCCTGGAGAATCTCCCTCCTCAAGGAGCCTTGTCACCCCAAGGGCACCTTGTCTCAGAGCATGGCTTGGTCTCCAAACCTGGGTTAATACTGGTTGAGGTGTGTGACACTAGGTGAGCTGTGTGATCTTGGGCAAGTTACTTAACTGTTCTGTGCCTCTAGAACATGGGGATAGTGCTCATCATCACTTCTAAGGCCTTGTGCAGATGCATGGCTTATCCAGGTAAAAGAGGTGGCACGGCACATGGCACACACCTGTAATGTGGTCGCAGAGCTCCCCTGGTTTCTGTCTGCAGCTTGTTCCCTGTACTGCCCAGGCTCTGGCCCAAAGCTGAGGGCTTCAGTCTTACCTGGCACAGGATGAACCTGTAGGTGGGCTCTGTGTCACCATAGCCTCTCGAGAGGGAGGGAGTAGGTAGATAGTTTGTCCCCCTCCCCTGGCAGGGTCCTTGCCTGGGTCTTGACTAGCTGCCTCTGTCCCAGGGTTCAGACAGCCTCCCGAGATAGGCATGGTTGTCTGTAACTCATGGACCAGGAACTGGAGGCACAGGGATGTGCAGTGACTTGCCCAGGGCCCCACAGCTAGAAGTGTCAGACCCAGGTCTGTGCGACTCAGAGCTCAGATCCTGGCCCCTGCGAGGGCCCTGCCTCCCACCTAGCCTGCCAGCCTGCCCAAGGAATGGGAGGCCCCCAGTCTTGTTCCCCCTAGTGGTCCGCAGATCTCTGTGGGAATCTGGGCCAACCCCGCGCATGCCAGGGAGCTCCTGCTCCCACTGGAAGCCTTCCCGCTGCTGCCTCCCCAACCCCTGCAGTCTCTAGCCTTGGCTGCTCAACCCTGGGAACACTTGGTGACCTCAGGGGGCACCTTCATCCCTGTCTTCACTGCAGCTGTCCCCCGAGGTGGCCTACGATGTACTGAGCGTTGCTGACATGTACCTGCTGCCAGGCCTGAAGAGGCTGTGCGGGCGCAGCCTTGCCCAGGTGCTGGATGAGGACAGCGTGGTGGGCGTGTGGCGCGTGGCCAAGCTCTTCCGCCTGGGTCGGCTTGAGGACCAGTGCACTGAGTACATGGCCAAGGTCGTTGAGAAGGTGGGCCGGCAGGGCTACAGCGGGCAGGCAGGAAGGGTGAGAGATGGATACCCCTGCACTGAGCTGGCCCTTCCTGCTCTTAGTTGGTGGAGCGGGAGGACTTCGTGGAGGCAGTGAAGGAGGAGGCAGCGGCTGTGGCGGCCCGGCAGGAGACGGACTCCATCCCATTGGTGGACGACATCCGCTTCCACGTGGCCAGCACAGTGCAGACCTATAGCGCCATCGAGGAGGCACAGCAGCGGCTTCGGGTGCTCGAGGATCTGCTCGTGTCCATTGGCCTGGACTGTTGAACTCCTGCCTGGGTAGCCCCAAGGGCCAGGAGCTCCCTTGGAGACAAGCCTGTGTGTGTGTTTCTGTGCAGCTCTTCTTGTTCCCTGCATACTGAGGGCTTCATGGTGGGTGCAGAGGGCTCAGTGGGGCTTCTCTCTCCTCATGAGCCTGGAGACCCCAGAGGAGGATCCATTTGGGATGAACCCCCTCCCCCCAATGCACAAGCCAGCCCCCAAGACCCTTGGGGGTGGGCACCACTCAGGGAAACCTGGGGTGGGGGTGGGCTTTGGTCTTAGCACTTTCCTTCCCCAGATCCTGCACCCCCAAATCCAGTCTTCTGGCCGTCACCCAGCCCTGGCTTGCTTCTCTGAGCCAGTGCTCCCATGCACAGGACTATTCAGAAAGGGCTGGGGGAGTGTGTATGGCAATAAAGCTTGAAGGCACTGTGGGAGCCTGAGTCTGTGTCCTGGGGCACAGCTTGGGAAGGGTGGGGCCTTCTGAAGCCAAAGGAGCTGGTGGGGACCAAGGAAAGGAGCTCTAGAGTTGGGGGCTTCCAGCAGAGGCTGACTCAGAGCCCAAGGTTACCTGGCTGAGCAGACCTAGAGATCTCCCAGTCACCCTAGCCTGGCCTGGGCCCAGCCTGGCTCCCTACCTCCCGGTCCCCTTGGACGCTGGCCATGGTGGGAGAGGGCCAGGACCAAAATGACCATTTTCTCTCAGTCTAGTGCCAGTCTTTTCCCCAGGGAAGCCCTTGTGACCCTTCCTGCAGGGGCTGCCACCTTATTCGGGGAAGGTGAGCTGCAGGGGCCACCTTTCTCCTTGGCCCTCTGAAGTTTCACTGAAAAATTGCAAAAGGCAGAGCAGCAGGGGAAAGACAGGCAAATTTATTTAGCATATAGACATGAGCATCTTTAGAATGAAGACCCAAAGGCAAATGGGATTGGTTAAAAAGTACAGGATCCAATGCTGACTGAATGGGGAAATGCAGCGAGGCCTGTCTAGATTATTCTTGCTCTCTCTGAGCAGCCTGCCTGCCTGTCTTCTGGGTGTGGGGCAGGACCCTCTGGAATGGGGGTTTTATGACCTATAGTAACAAGGTGAGTCTTATGGCCAGGTCATTACTTTACGGCCAGTTTTTACACAGATAGGGCAGAGGGAAATTGAGAGTCCTATTTTTAGGTTTTATGGCTGGCTTTGGGGTAAAGGGGCTCTGGTTTCTAGGGCCCGCCTAGGGGAAGACGGATTCTAGTTTCTGTGGCCAGCCTTAGGGGATGATGAGACTGAGAGTTTGGGGCAGAAGGTCAATGAGAAGAAGCTCCTGCTTCTGAGGCTGCTGTTAGGGCCTTCATTTGGGGTATTTGAGCCCCAAGGGGGTTTCTCATGATGTGCTGCAGGCCTGTGTACCCCACAGGCCTCTCTGCCTTCTAACTTGGTTAAACTCATCAGAGTGGTGTCACGGACCTGGGAGAGGAAAGGAAGGCTGGTTCTTTCCCAGGGCTTCTAATATCAGGCATATCACCCTTCCTGCAGTTGTTCCACAGCTCTTCATGCCTTTTCTTTTTTTAAGATGGAATCTCACTCTGTTGCCCAGGCTGGAGCGCAGTGGTATGATCTCTCTTGGCTCACTGCAACCTCTACCTCCTGAGTTCAAGCAGTTCTCCTGCTCAGCCTCCTGTGTTTGTAGCTGGGATTATAGGTGCACACCACCATGCCCAGCTAATTTTTGTATTTTTAGTGGACACAGGGTTTCGCCATGTTGCCCAGGCTGAGCTTGAACTCCTGACCTCAGGTGATCCGCCTGCCATGGCCCCCCAAAGTCCTGGGATTACAGGTGTGAGCCAGCATATCAGTGTCTTCATGCCTTTTCACTTTGTTATTTTTGGATGTTTTTCTTTTTCCTCCCCGGCCACTGGCATGTTGGTCGTCACATGGGGGAAGTGGTAGGTCTGAAGTGACCACTACTGAAGGATCTGCTGGGACAAGTCATGGTGCAGCCTGCACGAGGTGATTGTGTTGGGGTGTTGGGGAGGGGAGGTGTCCAAGGAGGGCTTGTGGGTGGAGGGTGTGGCTTGTGCAAGGGCCTGGGAGCCTGAAACAGCCTGAAATGGGAATGGGCTGGGAGGGGTCCGTGCATGGCCACAGCCCAGCTATAGCCAGAGGCTCAATCCCCACTGCAGCTCTGCTTTTCACTGCCGGCCACCGCTCAGCCTTTCACTGCTGGCCACCGCTGTGTCTGTTTGCCCACCCATAAATTGGGGGTGATTATGGCAACTCCCTCTTAGCTAGTGTTTGGCCTATCCTGAATCTGGTGTTTTTGTTTTTTTTTAATTTTTAATTTTTTTTAAACTAGAATACCCAGTGTAGGTGTGTTTGTTAAACAAAGGTTGAGTCCACCCGGTGGGTGGGAGGTGGGAGCAGGGGAGTTACAGGGGCTCACTCTGGTTTTCATAGGGCACACAGGAAGGGAAGAATGAAGCCAGGCTAGTGGCCTAACACCAGCAGGTCTCACCTCAGAGCACACACAAATCCTATTGTGCCAAGATATATGAGAGAGATTTAAACATTTAAAGAAAAAAGTTTAATTCCTATGCATTTTTTTTTTTAACTTTAGTTTACCCTTCTTATTTCTTCTCTTTTGCATTCTTGTAGGTAGGCACCTAATCCTATGCATTTCTTTTCATGTGCATTAGGAGAGAAAATGAGCTACTGCATGAAACCTTTCATTTTTTACAGATGTAATCATAAAGATTCCAATCTTGAATGAATTTTAAACCCCTAGTGAGAGGGCAGTTTAAGGAGAAATTCTCTAGAGTTGGTATTCTAGTGGTTCACTGATATAGCAGATATAGCCAGGTGTACCAGCTACGGCATCTGTGCGGGGAGAGCTGCAATCTGAGAAGTGCCACCCCTCAGGAGCTAGGCTGTGTGGTTGTGGGGCAACATTCCCCAGCCACACCACCCATTCCTCACTTTTTTATTTAAGACAGCGTCTAGCTCTGTTACCCAGGCTGGAGTACAATGGCGCAATCTCGGCTCACTGCAACCTCTGCCTTCCTGGGTTCAAATGATTCTCGTGCCTCAGCCTCCTGAGTAGCTGGGACTACAGGCATATGCCACCATGGCTGGCCAATTTTCATATTTTTAGTAGAAACAAGGTTTATCATGCCGGCCTGTCTGGTCTCGACTCGTGACCTCAAGTGATCCACCAACCTCAGCCCCCCAAAATGCTGGGATTACAGGTGTGAGCCACCACACCCGGCCCCATTCCTCACTTTAGCCTCAGGCAGAGAAGCCAGCGTGATGGGGAAACACTTGTGTAAGAAGGTGTCCAATGTGGTGTTGCAAATCAACAGGAAACATTGCCAGCAGCCGCAGCGAGCCGCAAGTGAGACGGAAGTGAGAGAGCATGGATGTGCAGAGCTTCCTGCAGCCCTGAGGGTGGTCAGTGCGGCCTCTGCATCCACAAGGAAAAGGTGGAGGATGTTCAGGCCCAGGGGTTGCTCCCCAGGTTTCTGTGAGAAACCCGTGGCACAGACAACCACACACGAGTAGAACTACAACCGTGGAATCTGAAATTTAGTGTCTTATACTTGGTTCTAAAATTAGGTTGATTTAAATTCAGAAGTGTGCCCTACTCTGACAAATGTTAAAGTAGACTAATAGAAGGCACATTTTGACACAGAGGCCCTGGGTTTGAGACTCCTCCATCATCCCTAAACCAGAGGAAGAATTGCTGTGTGAGCCAGCGATATTTGATCTGATTTCTGTTTAGTTTCTGTGATGTAGCTGTGCTACCTTTAAAATAAAAACAAAAATTTATCTCTTTACAATTCATTCCTACTTCCAGGTGAAAAAAATTTTTATTGTTGAATGAAAAATATTTCTATCGTGTTATTGGAAAAATTGTATGTGTTCTCTCCCAGCTCAAGATACCCCCAATATTTTAACAGATAGAAAAATAGGCTCGGCATGGTGGTTCATGCCTGTAATCCTAGCACCTTGGGAGGCTGAGGTAGGAGGATGGCCTGAGCCCAGATTTTGAGACCAGCCTGGGCAGCACAGTGAGACTCTGTCTCTCAAAAAATAAATTAACCAGACGTAGTGGCACGCGCCTGTAGTCCCAGCTACTCTAGAGACTGAGGTGGGAAGATGGCTTGAGCCCAAGAGGTTGGGGTTGCAGTGAGTTGTGATTGCACCAATGCACTCCAGCCTGGGTGACATAGTGAGACCCTGTCTCAAAATAAATAAATTGGACAATGACAAAATGAGCAATGGTGGAAGGGAAGTAAACATTTCGCACAGGAAAGGTAGTGTAGGGACAACGTTGACCACCAAGTAGTGAAGGTGGGGCTGGGCAGCTCTCTATCTAAAGCCCTGGCCCTGACAGGCGGCCCTCTCCCTCAGTGACTGCTGCTCTGGGGGGTCCACTCCCTGCTGTGGCTATTCCCGCATGCTTCATCATCCCCTGCCAACCCCTTTATTGACATCACCCTTAGTTAGGTGCAGCCATTTCCTGCAGGGCCCCACATGAACATGCCATTCACCCCTGTGCTCCAGCCATCCTGAGAGCCTCTCAGTTCTGGGGCCACCCTGAGCTTTCTGCACCTTGATAAGTCCCCCACAGACCCCTCTGCTGTGCCCCCAACTCCGGCCCGCTCTTGCTCACCTTCGGCTTCTGGAGGGCTGTGCTGGCCACAGTCTGTGCTGGTGGCAGCTGGGTGTCCATTGCTGTTAGGCTCTGGGGTGGGATCCGTGTTGCCTAGGGTCTTCATTCTGTGAGGGTGGCCCACTTTGTTCTGCCCTGGTCACTGTTCCTTCCAGTGCTGGACACCGTGCCTAGCACATCACAGTTGCCCAGTAAGGAGCTTGTGATGAGCCTAATGTTCATGGAGGAAGCTGAAAACTAACAAACGCAAACATTGGCTCTAGGTTTCATATAGTGAAGTTCTGGGCAGAATTTGGTTGGCCGTAAGTAGAGCTTGAGGGCCTGGAGAGAATGTGTAGTCCTTCAGGTGTGCGTACCTTTGGGGGATCTGCACAGAGGCCAGGTGCCACCTACCCAGGGCCTGAGCAGTTTGCAGGGCCCAGTGCAAAACAGTACATGGGGCCCTTGCTCAAAGAGCATTGAGAATTTCCAGAGAGCAACAGCAGAGCACTCACCCAAACCCACGGCCGTTCTAGCATGGGGCCTGGACCACTGCTCAGGTGGCCAGCTGCGAGGCCTACCCTGCATCCACACCCAGTTCCCAGCTCAGTGCCTGGCCCAGGTAAAGCCGTCCTGCTTCCTTCCTCTCTCCCTCGGCCACTCACTCATTTCCTCATCACTCACTCCCTCACTCATCCATTCTCTCACTCACTCATTTCCTTGTTTATTCATCCCCTCATTCTCTCACTTATTTCCTCACTCATTCATCCTACTATTCATCCATTCTCCCACTCACTCCCTCATTCATTCTCTCATTCTCATTTATTCACCTCCTCATTAATTCACCCATTCATTCACTCATTCCCTCATTCATCCCCTCATTCATTCTCTCACTAATTTCCTCATTCATTCCCTCATCACACATTCCCATGCTCACTCATTCCTTCGTTTATTCATCCCCTTCATTCCCCTCATTAATTCTCTCATTTATTCATCCCCTCACTCATTAAATCATCCATTCATTCACTCATTCACTCATTTATTCATCCCCTCATTCATTCTGTCACTCATTTCCTCAATCCATTCTCTCACTCATTCACTCATTCATTTATTCTTTCATTTCCTCACCCATCCATTCCTTCACTCATTCCCTCATTTATTCATCCCCTCACTCATTCTCTCATTCTCTCATTTCCTCACTTCCTCATTCATTCCCTCCCTCATCCATTCTCTCATTCCCTCAGTCTCATTCCTTCATTCATCCCCCATTCCCTCCTGCTCTCATTCATTCCCATTCTCATCATTCCTTCATTCATCCCCTCATTCACTCATTTGTTCATTCACTCACTTATTCCTTCCTTAATTCCCTCCCTCATTCATTCATTCTCACTCATTCCCTCATCACTCATTCCTTCATCCCTTGTGCATTCACTTATTCTCTTATTTCCTCATTCACTCACTTATTCAGTCCCTCACTCATTCATTTACTCACTTCCTTATTCCCTTGCTCACTCCTTCATTCACTCATCACTAATTCCCCCATTCATTCATGCACTCACTTCCTCATTCATTCATTCCCTTGCTCATTCATTCCATCACTCATCACTCACTCATTCCCTCATTTATTCACTCATTCATTTCCTTGCTTATTCATTCACTGACCCCTTACTCATTCCCTCACTCATCACTCATTCCCTTAGTCATTCATTCCCTCACTCATTCATTCCCTCACTTGCTCATTCCCTCACTCACTCATGTCAGTGCATTTTTTACATTTTTCTCCCTCAAAGAGAAACCAAAGAGAGAAGATGGGGCTATGGTAGGCACTCTCTTCCGGTACCTGGACTCAGTCAGCACCTGGGCCTTCACCTGTCCTGCATAGGATGGGTGCTTGGCTCCTCCTGAGGGAGAAGATAAAGACATCATTTTGTCACTCACTCATTCATTCACTCACCCACTCCTTCCCTCCTTGTCCTATCAGACAGATCTTTCCAGTGACCTTCTGGGAAGCAGGCAGAGGTATAGTGCAGGGACAAGCCCTTTTGCAGCTCACATTCCCATGGGAGGGGACAGAGTGCTACCAAGAGTACAAGCAGATCTGTCATGTCAGATGTCAACAAATGTGCTGGAGGAGAAGGCAGGGCAGGGCCTAGGGGGGGCCTCACTAAGAATACGGCCAGTGAGGAGGCCGGCATAGTGAGGACCAAGTGGACGTGGAGGATGGGGAGAGGGGAGGCAAGGAGGCCAAAGGCCCAGTGCCCATAGGCCTCAGCAAGAACCACAGCCTTTATTTTTATTGAGGTGAGATGGTAGCCACCGGAGGATGTTGAGCAGAGAAGGGCCGCAGTCTGACTTGCACGTTAACAGACCTCTCACCTCCATATGGAAACAGACCAGGTGCAGGTGAGAAAGTGGGGCCTGCCAAGGAGGGCGCTGTTGCTGTCCCTCAGATGCTGGTGACAGCCGTGCGGCTGGAGGGGAGCCACATGATCCTGGCCACACTCAGAAGGGGAGCGGCTGGGTCAGGTGTGGGCGTGGAATGGAGAGGGGTGTGGAAGATGCCCAGCAGCAGGAGGCCAGGTTCCCTGTGCTGAGTAGGGAGGGCTGAGGCCCCACATGGGGCCCTGGAGGAAGCCCAAGCCACGTGAAGCTGGTGCAGGGGGCAGCCTGGGCTTCGTCCTCCCCAGTGGCAGGGCAGGGTCTGCAAGTGGATATGTGTGTTTAGAAATCTGCTCCAGGTGTGGATGGGAGAAGATAAACTTCACACATGCTGATCCGGGAAGCACTGCTGGAGTTGGTATCAGGTGACAGGCGTGGCTCAGCCAGGGCTCAGCCTGTCTCGAAAAGGGCCTGCTGTGCTCTCTGCAAGGAAGGTTGTCATCCAGGGTCCGAGGCTGCTATGACAGACAGACAGATGCCATTCCGAAAACATCAGGTTTATTAGGATTAGCTGTAGTGTACACTGATTCCTTGAGCTCTAAACGGATACATATGTGCCCCGCAGACAGTATACACGCGGGGATGTGACCCAGTCGCAGTGACATAGCAAACCCGACAGCTGGCTTGTGAAGCCATCATGATCCCAATAAGGTCTATGTTAGCAATTGGTGAGAGAAGAGAGTGAGATGGGACCTGCGTCGGCCTGGGGGTGGGGTCCGAGCAGAGCCTGTGGGTTTTCAGAGCACCCACCAGTGCTGCCACGGTGAGCCCAGAGCCACCTGGAAGTGGAGGGAAGCTGGGTCACTGCTGCAAGGGAGGGAGGCTGACTCTCTACCCCTCACCGCTTCAAGGAACCAAGGCCAGTAGGTTTGTGGCCGTCACCGGCCGCAGGTGGCATCTTTCTCTAAAAAGCTTTCCAGGCATGAAATCCATTTCTGTATGGACCGGGCTATGTTGACAGTGGCAGTTGTTCCCTGTGTCCCAGGCCTTTGGATCCCCTCCTGGCTTCTGCCCTCCTCTCACCTTCTTGAGGCCAAGCTGTGCAAGACCTGGCATCCCTTCCAAGCCTCAGTTCCTCCCTCTCCCTGTGCTGGTGCAACTCCAGAGCTCAGAATGTCGGCACGGAGCTGTCAATACCGAGAAGGAACTCAACTCAAGGCTTCATGGCTTTCCAAGACAGGGCTGGCTCTGAAGTGGCCATGCGTGAGATGTTAGGCACGCTCATGTGTGGGGCCCTGTGCAGGCTCCTGACCCAGCAGGGAGACATGGTGGGTGGATGTACCAGCCCCTTCCAGATGACATGAAAGAGTCCCAATTTCAGGAAAGTTTTCCTTTTAAATGTTGGTGATTCTTTAACCAGGAATGCAAATACTACTGAAGTGTCATGTGTGTCTGTGAGAGCCTTCATGTAAATAAAGTCATGCATCTAAAGAGTCCCTGGTCAGGCTGCATGCCGATATTTAATTTGGGGAATGGCGATGGCATCACATGCGTCTGGGGGAGGCGGCGGGGAGGCGTAGGGACTTTTGTGTGACTTGCTCTATCACAGCTCCTGGGGAGAATTACAGATCTGAGCCCAGGGCTTCTCTGGGCTTTGGGAAAGGGTTCCTGCTTTTCCTGAGCTGAGAAGCAGAAACATTCCCATGGCTGTCCTGCTGCCGGGGCTGACTGAGCAGGCAGGGCTGGCTTTCTCTCTCAGCATGCATTTTACATTTTTCTCCTTCAAAGAGAAGCCAGGGAGACAAAATGAAACTACAGAAGGCGCTCTGTGGGGACATGGGCTGGGTCAGCACCCAGGCCCCCACCTGCCCCATGTGGAGTGAGGGCTTGGCTCCTGCCCTAGGGCACAGAGTGATCTTCAGCAGGGTGATCTGTTCCTGGCTCTGCCATGGTGTGGTCAGGGCTGCTGGAGGGAGGGTGGAGGGGCGCATTCTCTAGGGACCAAGGTTAGCCTCCAGAACAGGGCCTGGGAGAGCAGTGGCAGTTCCTGCTGTGGGAGGAAGAAGGGCAGGAGCCCCCGATGCCTAGATGTCACGTTGGGGGCCCTGGTGGGAAGTGGCCCCCTCTTCCGTGGCCCCAGGATCCCTAGATTGCACCTTCTGCAGGGCTTCAATGGTGGCAACACCCTGACCAGGGTCATATTTGCACTAAGGGGCCTCCTGACGTAAGAGCAAGTCCCATTTAGAAGATGAAAGTATTCCCAAGGCGGTGACCCCCCACTTATTGCTGGCACCAAGTGAGGCCAAGGGCAGGACTGGGTGGTGTTGGCACCTGAGAAGGGCAGACTAGGCCTAGGGCCTCGGCTCCAAAAGGTGATGCCAGCCTTGGCCTTGGGTGAGGCCTGGCCTGGCGTGTCCTGCTGTGGCCTGGGGCAGGGCTGGGAGTACCTCCATTCCCTGCTCTGGGTCACTGAGTGCTGCATGTAGACCTGGGCAGGGAGGACTGGCCTGCCCCTGTGCTGGGACTCTCTTCTCCTGCCACCAGAGGTAGCTGTGCTGCTAGCACTGACACTCTCAGGGTAGCTCTGGGCCGTAGGTAGGCCCAGGCCCAGGGACCACATCCCCATGGGCTGCCACTGCTCCATGGTCCTGGAAGGGCAGGAAGGGCACCAGACCTTGCCCATAGGAAAGGCTGCTGGCTCAGCTCCTAGAGCATAGGGCCCTCTGGCTCCACCACCGCCCAACCCGTCCAGTTCTATACAATAGCATCAAGCTCCGATTCCTTTGATTGCTCAGATTCACCTTGCTCCCTCCCACCTACCCACCAAAATAGTCTCTGCTTTAAAATATACATTATATATTAGACATATCATCTTCAATACAATTCTCTCATAGCATCAGGTAAAATTAGTGACTCCAGAGGGAAAGCAGCCTTTGTGAGTACAGACAGTACTCGGGCCAACCTGAGTCTCCCCCTGGTGGGAGGGGAAGGGCAGGGAGCAGAGAAGAGCCTCAGTTTCCTGCTCAGTTCTTTTTCTGAGCTAAGCCTCACCCCCCTCCCCTCCACAAAGCCTGGCCTTGGGCTGACAAGGAGCCCACAAAGTCATGGGTGGCTGCTCATTTTGAGGAAGTGCTGGGCATTTTCTGGGTCTCAGAGGGGCACATGAGTCTGCCCCAGGGAGCTGGCCCCTGTGGAGACAGCAGCCACCTCATCACATGGCCAGAGAAAGGCCACCAAGTGGAGGCCAGTGAGAGACGGCGCTGGGGCTCGAGCAAGGGGTGGGCAGGAGGGAGGCACCTCCAGTTATTGCAGTCTGGTGTCCTGGGAACACCAGGGATCCCTGGAACCCTTGTGGGAGCTGGGAGAGGCAGGGCAGAGGCTTGGCTTTGTTTTAAGTGGATATTTTAGCACAATCTTTGTGAAAAATCACCTGGGACCTTTCTCTTTTTTTGCATAAAGTGTCTACCCATGAAGGTAGGTCCAGTGTCTAACAGCCTAATGTATAAAAAAAAGTCTTTTTGTTATTTTTTAGTAAATTGTGCTAGGGATTTCTCCAATTTCTGGGTTTTTGTTTTGTTTTGTTTTGTTTTTTGCAAGCCACATCTGCAAAGCCATCTCTGCCCTTCCCCTGCCTGTGTCCCCTAGATCCTGAGCTGGGCACGGGACAGTGCATTCAGGGTGGGGACGAAGTTCCTGCCACGGACGTCCTTTGAGAGACCCACATGTTTATTTCATGGAAGACAGAGTTGGTGACTTCAGGAAGCTCTTTGTGGAGAACATGGTAGGCACCTTCATAAATCTGCAATGAGGAGAGACTCGGAATCAGTGCTATACCATCAGAGGTAGGTGCGGGGAGCAGAGACCATGGGCAGCAGGCAGGGGTCTACAGTGTTCTCCGGACCCTCTCCCTGTGCCCCGAGGACGTGGCCCTGACCTCCCATCATTAGGAGGCCAATACCTTTCTGTCAGATGATGGTTCAAATGCATTGCAATGTCCCAACGTGTTCCCGAACTTCCTTTCTCAAATGCAACCTTCCTTCACTCTACATCTCTCCCCATCCCTGGAGCCGTTTCTGTGTCTCCGAGTCAGTCAACCTTAAAAGAGGGGGTTCCACTCCTGGCCTCACATCCTGACCTCCACGGGGTCCTCAGCTCAACCCAAGCTGACTTGCATTCCCGCCAACCCACGGTGGCTATCCTGGCAAAGTCTCCGGGGATTTCCATTGCCGTGGCAGGGGACGCTGTGCTCATCATTCATAAGCTGCTCACTCTTATGTTCTAGAAACACTTTCTTCTCATGGTTCCATGGCTTTAACTTCTCCTGGTTTTCTTCCAACTGGCAGTGCCTTCTCAGTCGAGGCTCACCCACTGGCCTCTGCAGGCAGCTGGACTACAGGTTTGACTGTGCCCTCCTTCACTCTCCCTGGTCACCTCGCCTATCCAGTGGTTTTAAAATCCACCCTGAGCTGATGACTCTGGAAGAATTCACATCTCCAGCCAGACTTTCCTTCCGCCTCTAGACTGCTGACCTGCCATCTCCATCCGGATTCCTGGTGGGCACCACCAGACTTCAGTGCAACTCTAACAGGCATCTCCGGGTGGACTCTGGCCATTGCTCACGTCAGTCTCTCTGCCTGGCATTTCTGGTCTCATCACAGTCGCCTCATTGAATGAACCCAGGGTTCATTCTTCATGACAGTGATCTCACTCTCTGCCGCCCTGCCTGGCCTCCCCTGCCTTGGTTGTCACTGTCCCCCACCTCCTCTTTACCCCCACTCCAATCTCCCCATGGCCACTGGGGGATGCTTTTAAAATGGAAATCAGAGCACATCACTCCTTGGCTCAAAATGCTCGGGTGGCTTCTCATCTAACCAAGAGAAGACGTCTAGACTTCCCAGGTGGTGGGGCTCCCCTGCCCCCCCACAAGCCCCCCTGCCTGGTGTGTCCTCACTGGCCGCTCTTCTCATGGCTGTGTGCCTATGCCAGCCTCGGGTCCTCAATCTCGCTCTTGCATCGGTCTGGAAGGTTCTTCCACTGGCTCTTCTTGCCAGCAGACTGCAGGCCTGGCTGTCCCATCCCCATCTAAAGTGTTGCTTTCCTCCCTGTCCACCTCTATCCCTGCACTACACTCTCCATCATCATCCTGTTCATTTATTTGTTGATTGCTCATCCCACCAGGATACAGGTTCCCGGGGGCAGGGCAGAGTCTTTGCCTGTCTTGTTCTCTGGGCCCAGCACAAACTTAGGGCCCCATAAACACTTGACTATAAGAAGCAATGAGTGGGTAGCTGGGTGAATGAATAAACAATCTTAGTGGACTCCTTTTGCAGGGACTTGCAAGGGTTCACATTGGTGTAAGGGTGTGGTCTGAGTGATGCTGTCACTCATGAATGCAGTGTTCCACTGGCTTTTAAAAAATATATTTTGCCAAGCATGATGGCTCACACCTATAATCCCAGCACTTTGGGAGGTCAAGGTGGGTAGATCACCTGAGGTCAGGAGTTCAAGACCAGCCTGACCAATGTGGTGAACGCCCATCCCTATTAAAAATACAAAAATTAGCCAGGCATGGTGGTGGGCACTTGTAATCCCACCTACTCAGGAGCCAGAGGCAGAAGAATCGCTTTAACCCAGGAAGCAAAGGTTGCAGTGAGCCAAGTTTATGCCATTGCACTCCAGCCTGGGCAACAAGAGCAAAATTCCATCTCAAAAACAATATATATATATATATGTTTACATATATATTTACTTATTTATGTATTTATTTTTGGCTGGGCATGGTAGCTCATGCCTATAATCCCAGCACTTTGGGAGGAGGCAGGAGGATCACCTGAGGTCAGGAGTGAGACCAACTTGGCCAACATGGTGAAACCCCATCTCTACTAAAAATACAAAAATTAGCCAGGCATGATGGCAGGTGCCTGTAATCCCAGCTACTCAGGAGGCTAAGGCAGAAGAATCTCTTGAACCTGGGAGGCAGAGGTTGCAGTGAGCTGAGATCACACCACTGCACTCCAGCCTGGGTGACAAAGCGAGACTCTGTCTCAAATTAAAAACTTTTTTTTGAGATGGGGTCTCACTGTGTTGCCCAGGGTGGTCTCAAACTCCTGGGCTGAAGTGATCCCCGCTACTCAGCCTCCTGGGGAGCTGGGATTACAGACATGCACCACCGCACCTGGCTCAGTGCTTTTAGACTCTCCAGTATTAATAAGAGCCAGTTTTCCCTTATTTTTTTCATTTGTTTTTCTTCATCTATGAGTCTATACCGGAGCTAATACGGGTCAGCATCTGCAAATCAGTAATGATGCCAGGGACACACTTCACAGTATGCAAAGATAGGAGCCTTTGTCTGCACAGTGGGGAGAGAAGAGAAATGATGGGACTTGAGTCCAGAAATCTCAGTTCCAATCCCAGCTCTATACTTAGTGGGCGTGTGAGCTGAAGTGAGTTATCTGGACTCTTTATAACTTAGTGAAAAATGGCCATGGAGCCAGGGGGCAGGCCCAGGGCAGCACAGTCCAGGGAGCCCCAACTGTGTGGACCAGGATGTAAATATGCCCCTGGGCTTGGCCTGCCAAACCTAGCACAGAGCATCTCCAGGGATAACACTTGATGGGTACCCGGTAGGTGTTCCTCCCTCCAGGAGGTTTTTCTCATCAATCAGACAAACGAAATGAGCATGTCTGGATCCCAGAACCACATTGCCCATCTTAAGAGGCCTTTTGAGTTAGTCCATTGCAGTCTTGGTATCCAGTATTCCACATAACCAAGCTGCAGGGCCTGTCCTCAGGGCCCCTGGCTGGAGGACCAGCTCTTGCAGGTTCCTTTGAAGATCAGGCTCTATCAAGTCCTGCCAGCACCCGTGTGCCCTGAGCCCTCTGGTGGCCACAGCCCCCAGGAGACTGCAGCCACTGCTGGTGCAAAGGGAGGCTTGGGCATCACATGCATCCTTGGAGCTTGGACATGCCTCTCTCTGGAGATGTGATTTGCTCAGTGCCCAGCTGCATATTCTTTTCTTGCCTATAACATCTTTTGATTGTTCTTTCCTCTTCCCCTTGAGGCTCATCATTCATTCCAAACAATCAGCAAATGACTCGTGTGTTCTCTTGAAATTCATAGGCAACTGGGATTCCTTGTATTTATTTCTTGGCCAAGCACACTGGTCCCTATCCCGAGACCTGGGAGTTGGCCCTCAGGGGTCTGGGCAGATATGCCCCAAGGGGTGCGGCCTCCCCCCCCAAACCTTGGGGGGAAATGGGAGGTGGCAGCTGCTCACCTTGAGAGTCTTGTCCTGGCTCTTGGCTGATTCCATGAGCAGGTAGGCCCCTTTGCTGTCACATAGGCGGTCGGCAGAGCCCTGGAGCAGCAGGAAGGGCACAGTGAGCTTGGGGAGGGCGCGCTCCACCCGAGAGACGGCGTTCAGCAGCTGGATGCCGAAGCATACCTTCAGCCCTGCCCGGCAGATCAGGGGGTCTGAGTTATAAATGTCGACCTGGAGGAAGAAGGAGAGTTCCATCAGCATGGGCGGGGCTCCCTTTCACAGGCCATTCCTATTTCTCAGTAGCTTTTCCTTCTGCTCTGGGCTGTAAGGTTGATTCCATTCAGGTCCGCTGGGCTTGGGCATGGCTCTAAGGGCCAGCCGCGTTCATCCACAAACCTCATCTGCACCACTTGTAATGCCTCTCCTTTCAGGCTTGAGCATTTCACATACACATGGGTGCCTGGAGAAAATTTCAAGTATTGGCTGGGCACGGTGGCTCACACCTGTAATCCCAGCCTTTCGGGAAGCCGAGGTAGGTGGATCACTTGAGTCAGGAGTTCGAGATCAGCCTTACCAACATGGTGAAAGCCCGTCTCTACTAAAAATATTAAAAATTAGCTGGGTGTGGTGGTGGGCACCTGTAATCCCAGCTGCTCAGGAGGCTGAGGCAGGAGAATCCCTTGAACCTGGGAGACGGAGTTTTCAGTGAGCCAAGATGGAGCCACTGCACTCCAGTCTGGGTGACAGAGTAAGACTCTGTCTCAAAAAAAAAAAAAAAAAAAGAAAATTTCAAGTATTAATTTGTATTTTTAAAAATATAAGCAGTAGCATATTGTTCACAGCAATTATTTCATTAAAAAGTAGCTACGTAGCAGTTTTATCATTTCATTTTGTTCTCTGTCTCTGCTGATATGGTATCCACCCAGTGAAATTGGATGAGGGGCAAACCGTAAACTGCAGGAACAGTTTACTGGGGCCTGTGCTGGAAAGCAAGGGCCTGTGTTAGGAGTCCCTGGAGGGGCTTCGGCCGGGCACTGACGATGGGCTTTGGAATGAGGGACATTCAAGCGCAGGTCTGAGCTACAGTGGGCTGTGGCCTTGGTGCCCTCCAGGGCTGCACAGGGTGATCAGAGTCTCTGACAGGGAGGCCTGGGCTCTGGCGGTGCCCAAGGCCATCTCTGTCCCTCTAAGGGATGTGGGTCCTCCCTCCTCAACCACTAGCCCATGGCTGCTCTGTCCCCTGTCCTTGCTCTCCCTGGCCTGTCTGGGTTCTGGCTTCACTCTTCCTGCCTCCATAGAGACAGTTCTGCCTCCACTGCCCTGATCTCTGGCATTTGCCCCACAGTATCTGGAGAGAAGTTTCTAGGAATCTCTCAGGCCCATAGGGTCAAGAGTGAGCCCTTGATTCTTCTTCTTCTTCTTCTTATTATTATTATTTTTTGAGATGGAGTCTTGCTCTGTCACCCAGGCTGGAGTGCAGTGGTGCAATCTTGGCTCACTGCAACCTCTGCCTCCCCAATTCAAGCGATTCTGTTAGCTCAGCCTCCCAGGTAGCTGGGCTTACAGGCACCCACCACTACACTAGGCTAATTTTTGTATTTTTGTAGAGACGGGGTTTCACCATGTTGGCCAGGCTAGTCTCGAACTCCTGACCTCAGGTGATCCATCCATCTCAGCCTCCCAAAGTGCTAGGATTACAAGAGTGAGCCACCATACCTGGCCTCATGATGCTTTTTCACTCATGTTTGTCATCCTTGCCAGTGGGTTCTTGGCGGGTTGGGGAGGGGCCACATGGTGAGAACTGAGTGAGGATCAGAGAGTATGTGGGGACGAGGAAAGAACGTGCTGCCAGCTGCTCCCCAGGCGACCAGGATGCCCACTGTGCTAGGACTCAGCATTTCCAAGAGGTGGGCTACAGCCCCTTCTGTTACCACCCCTACAGGGCCTCGGCCAGAATTCCAGACCATACCAAGTGGGAGAGGCTGTCCTGCAGTCACCCCTGCCATCCCTGGATTCCTTCCCATGCCGGGGACTAAGCACCAAAAACCAGACCATTTGTGAAAAACCACACGAGACAGATTAACCACTTCCTGCAGCTGAGCTGGCATGAATCCTGCTGGGCCAGGCCATCTGCTTGGAGGTTGTGAGGACACAGGACTGGCAGGGCAGTGCACGAGGGCCTGTGGCCAGGTCCAGCCACAGGGCGTGCTTCCTCAGGGTCAGCCAGGAGCCTTAAGGGAAGGAGGGCTGCGGGGCCCATAAAAAAAGCCTGGGGCTTGGGGTCAGTGGAGTCCCCAATAGCAGCACCATCTACCAGCTTGTGCTGGGCTGCAACGCGCAGGGTGTCATTGAGTAATAAAAATAATAATAGCTATGTCTGAGCTCTGGCTGTCTGCCCAGCACTAAGTGTTTTTGTGTGCAGTAACTCACTGGACCTCCATAACTGCCCTGTATGAGGAATTGATCTCATTCACTCCATTACACAGAGGAGGAAACTACAGCACAGAGAGGCTTGTTAACCTGCCTATTAGTTGTCCCGATTTTTGTTCTCCCCTACAGAACCTTGATGTTTCCTGGGGTACACAACTGCTCAGAATAGAGACTACATTTCCCAGCCTCCCTTACAGCTAAGTGTGATCACATGACCAACTTCTGGCCAATAGAAAGTAGCCAGGGGCTGTGTGCACACTGTGAAAAGGGTTTATTTTCCCCTTGCCCCATAAAGAGAGTAAGGGCCATGTGGACAAAGTTCACACCTGGATGCTACAGCAACAAGATGGGTGTCCTGATGCCAAGAAGTCACCTCCTTTCCTTGTTAGGCTGCTGTTGTTGGGGGTCTGAGTTCCAGCAGGCTGGCCACCACCCATCCCATGCTGTCTCTAGGGCTCCTGTGGGACCTGTGGGGTGGGGGCCGCACTCTCGCCTCTGCTGCCAGCAATGTCTTAACGACTGCCTCCTTCCTGCCTTCTACTTTGCCCCGCTGACCCCAAGTGTCCCGAGTACAGCAGGCCCTCAGGGACTCTACTTCTGAGTTTAATTGCACTGATGGCCCAAGCAGCTTCCTGCTCTTGGCTTTGTTTTCATGTCTTGATCACGTAGGCCCTGTTTACACAATGGCCTATTCTGGGCCTGGGGCCCAGCCACCAGATGTATCGTGGAAAGGGCAGGCCCCTGATGTGAACTACAGCCCAGACTGGAGGTGAAGGGCAGAGGGAAACTGAGACCAGGAGGTGGGGGTGGGCTATACCAGCTGGGGAGACTGAGGAACAGAGGGCCCAAACCCTCCCCTCAAGCAGCAGTTCTGGCCCAATCACAACGGCCTTGGTTTTTTGACCAGCTTAAGGTCTCAATCCACCAAAAGTTCTAAGAGTGTGTCTTGTGCCTCCCAGGAAGGAGATAGCCAAGCCCCTTCCTCTCAAACCAGGCCAAAGCCCAGAACATGAGTTCATTCATTCAATACGAAGGATCAAAGTGTCAGTCCCCAAAGATTCCACACTGCTTGATTCCCCTGATGTTTTGTTCTTCACGTGACAAAACTAGAGAAACAGAGACCAGACTCACGGCTGTCAGGGCCGAGGAGGGTGTGGGGAGGGTAGGGAGTGGATGCAGCTGTAAAAGGGCAACTTGAGGGGTCCTTGTGAGGATGGAGCCATCTGTGACTTGACTGTGTCAAGGCCAGTATTCTGGATGTGATATTATCCTATTGTTTTGCAAAATATCACTGCTGGGGGAAACTGGGTAATGGGTACATGGAATGGTTCTGTATTATTTCTTACAACTGCTTGTGAGTTACAGTGATCTTAAATGAAAATTTTAACTAAAAACAAGTAACAAAGGCCCAGGCTTTGGCACCATCTCTCACATCCCCACCTTCCTGTTTGGTCCACCATGGCTCCCACCAGCTGAGACCAGGGTCTGTTGGGGACGGCAGCTGGAAGCAGGAGCCCAAGCTGGAGACCCAGGTCCAAGTGACTCCCTCCCTGTGGTTCTAGGTAACTGATTTCCTGGAGAGCCCCCATTGGCTGAAAGCTGAAGTCTTTTTTCCCCCCAGGGTGGTGGTTGGGAGTATGGTAAGGCTCTACCCCTTCCTGGGGCTCAGTTTCCCCATCCAGGGAACCCCAAAGCTTCCTCTTGGGTTTTAAGTTTCACAAGCTGGCCTCCTGTTGAGCTTGACACCCAGGAATATACCAGCTGGGGCTTCTGAATTTCCAGCACTGTCTCTCTGTGGGAAGAAACTTTGCACTAACGCCCAGTAAATACAGCTGCAATCCTCAGCTGGGAGTTTTCTTACACTTATGGTTGAGCAAAATCTAGACACAACCCCTGCAGTTAAATCTCTTGACCCATTTGTTTAAAAACCGTTCCATGATGAAATCCAATATCACAGTTTAATTAGAATACTGTGAAAAATAACGAATGCGTGGAGCCCTTGACTCTTTTACTAGGTGCTGTAGCAAGTGCTTTGCTCATACTTGCTCGTTTAATTTTCACAGGAACCCTGTGACATAGGAACTATTATTATTACCTTTGCACACACTAGGAGATAGGTTCAGAGAGGTTAGGTGACTCACCCAAGGTTATACAACAAGTAAGAGGCAGAGCCAAGGTAAAAACCTAGGCACTGTACCACTGCCATCAGCATTTTTAGCCACTCATCATGCTCTGCTGCCCGTCTCGAGAGAAGGTGAAGGGCAGCGCTGGGGCAGAGAGAGCCGGGAGCTGTGCAGGTGGCAGGGCCACTACTGCTCTCAGAAAAGGCAGGAGTGGTCCCTGGTAAGGACGAAGAGCCGATGGGCCTGACAGATGCTGAAGTGAACTCGTGGGGCCCAGAGGTTACTGCCCTTCACAGCCAGCCAGAGGGCATGGGAGAGCCCTTCTGGGCACAGACAGGTAGTACCCTCCCGAATGCACCCCTAATCACAGAGAAATACAACCCACAGGCTTCATCCCTGTAGGTCTGTCCACAGCTGGCTCTTCCTGCCCCTCCTTCCCTGTAATCTCCCTTTTCCTATGGAAGCCTCACCCTTCCACCTGCACTTCAGAGCCCATCCTCGAATTCTCATCTTCTTCTTCGGTTGTTTAGATCTCTCTTAATCCATCTGTTTCCAATACAGGGAAGCCTTCTCTGGCACAATAGAGAAAGAATGCATGACAGCTCTACCCAAGTGATCTCTGTGAAATTTACAAACCTGTGGGCACCCTAACAGGAACTAGCAGGTCTTTGCAGAGAT